CTCTGGAGTCAGTAGGTCGGACTAGACTGGCCTGGCTTGGCAATTTTGGCTTTGAGAGCTCTCAAATCAGGCTAGGATCAGGTCAAGTTAAGCTCTGGAGTCAGTAGGTCGGACTAGACTGGCCTGGCTTGGCAATTTTGGCTTTGAGAGCTCTCAAATCAAGCTAGAATCAGACCAAGTCAAGCTCTGGAGTCAGTAGGTCGGACTAGACTCGCCTGGCTTGACAATTTTGGCTTCGAGAGCTCTCAAAGCTCTCAAAGCTCAAAGCTCAAAGCTCAAAGCTCAAAGCTCAAAGCTCAAAGCTTTAAGAGCTGTTTCTAGAGCTCAAACTTGGTGATCTTTTCTGGCACTTCCAACCTCACAAACAAGTGTTCCAACGTACTGAATGATATCCCACCATTTCGTCCACGGTTCACCAGTGCCTTTAGCAAAAGCTTGAACGATATCCTAAATTGATCAGACGTATAAAAGAGCTATCGTAATTGAACTAAATCTAGAAATCCTATAGTTTACAATATGTTGCTGTTCGTAGTTTAAATACTCAGGTCTTGCTAGTCGTTCATTTTCGATTTGTTTCGCTCTAGCGCACGGAGCATCGGGCTCAAATTCCTGAAATCAGCTTTTAAAGGTTTACTAGCAAAAAAATCAAAAAAATCCTTACATGATCTGGATCAGTATTTGTGTGAATTGGTAGAGGAGTCCAGTTTTTTGGCCATCCCTAAGCCTTTGTTTGCATACTAATAGAAACGTTTACTGTATCAAATCGTAAGTGAGCTTTATTTCTATTCACTTACTCCTCCTTGTGGATGAAATTAGAGAAACGTTTACTGTATCGAATTTTAATTTCGCCATATTTCTATTCACTTACTCCTCCTTGTGGATGAAATTTCGAGTCACTGTAGAAACCGGCAAAGTCAGCAGCCGCTGATTGTAGGCAACGGTCGTGAAGAGCCGATCGGATATGGATCTAGATTTTCGAAATTCTTTAGACTACCGTGCCAGAAGACGTGCGTTTACAAGAGCACAAAGCGACACGCACATCGTACGGTGAATAGGTGGCGTTCACCAATTTCAACTCGTCCACATAACGGGCTTTCAGCTTTAGGCCATTGATAAGATGCTGTTGCATTCCTTGCTAAATTTTTGATGATTTTAGAGATACTTTAGCTCGTTTTACTGTAGTTATTTTACTGTAATTACTGCCGTTAGTTACTCGTCTTGTCTTATTTTTGGTACTGTAAGCCTACAGTAAAATATAGTAAAACTAAAAGATCTAATTGAAGAAATTGAAAGAACTGACTTGATGAAATTGTTTTTGAAAAAGTGCCCTTAGGAAAAAGCTACCGCAATCTCAGTACACAGTACTGTAAGATAGTGGGCCCGGGCTACGGTAGCTCTACAGATTTTCCCGGGCTACTGTAGCTCTACAGGTTTACCCGGGTTACGTTAGCTCTATAGAATTACCCGGGCTACGGTAGCTCTACAGAATCACCCGGGTTACGGTAGCTCTACAAATTTACCCGGGCTACGGTAGCTCTACAGATTTGCCCGGACTACGGTAGCTCTACAGATTTACCCGGGCTACTGTAGGTCTACAGATTTTCCCGGGTTACGGTAGCTCTATAGATTTACCCAGGCTACTGTAGCTCTACAGATTTACCCAGGCTACGGTAGCTCTACGGACTTATCCGGGTTACGGTAGTGGTTTGAGTTTGAGGCTCATTACCTTACAGTAACCACAGTATCTTACCGTAGTCAATGTTCCCCATGGCAATCCCCAAAATGACTCTTGATATGGATCTGACGGGACAGTCGTCACTGGAGTGCGATCACCATGACGAAAAAGCTGAAAAGTGGGGAATTCGTTGTGCCAGAAAGCGTGCTTTTACATTCAGATAAAAGTACACCGTACAAAGTACAAAAGTACACCGTACACAGTACAAAAGTACACTTGAGCTTTCCAAAATCAAACCCCACCACTTGAGCACTCAATATCGTCGGATCAGCATTGACAACATGACTCAAAAATATTGAAATCAGTAAATATTTCATTTTAAGATCTTTTCTAAGATCTAAAAGAAATTCTTGAGGTTCCCTTTCACGTAAAAATAATCCCCTTATCACTTCAACTTTTAGGCTCACTGGGGATTTTTAAAGACCCCCAATTTTTTTGAGAAGACTCGAGTTTGATGCACAGAATTTTCAAAAAATTTGAAATCTTTAGGAAAAAACAAAATTTTTTTATGTTTTAAAGATTGGTAATGTTACCGAAACCCAGTTAAACTCGTTAGTCAGACCGTGGAAGAGCTGCTGTAAGCCCTGTTATGCTCACGAGGGAACCACAGATACTCACCACCTCGGATCGCCTCTAAACTTTGTGCGGTGGTCAAACAGGACAAAACTAAAGTTCTCTGCAAAATCGAGCTGCTATCTAGCTGCGACGAAAATATAAAGCTTTTAAATTTTTAGTAAGAAATGCGAGGAAACCGCAAATACCTTCGAAAAGTATTTCTTGACGTTTTTCCGTCAGTTTTTCTTGGAATACTGTCGCCAACTGACTGTAAAATGCCTTTAAGCTAAAAAGAACGAGTACTTTGATAGCAATTTTAAGGTAAAGTTTTGAAATTGTTGACTTGGTTAAGCTAAATGGCTTGATGCTTTAATATCTTCAAAAAGTATTTCTTGGCGTTTTTCCGTCAGTTTTTTGGAATACTGTAGCCAACTGACTGTAAAATGCATTTAAGCTAAAAAGAACGAGTACTTAGGAATTTTAAGGCAAAGTTTTGAAATCGTTGCCTTGGTTAAGCTAAATGCTGTTGTAAACACCTTTTGCTCATTGGAAAAAGGAATTGTTTTGATCAATGGGTCCTAAATGAATTAAAACAAAGTCAATCGAGTTTCATTGTCTCAGATTCTATAGAAAAAGGCTACGGGCAGTGCTTTTTTTGAAAGTATGTTGGCGATGGACGAAAAGTGGATATATTTCAATAGACAACACGCAAAAGACAATGGTTGAGCAAAGGAGAACTTCCAATTTCGACACCACATCCAGAGCTTCACGGAAAGAAAGTTATGCTGTCAGTCTTTTGAAATATGAAAAGGAATCGTTTATTTTGAATTACGAAAATCTTCAACAACTATAACTTCCCAAATTTACGCCAAACAGCAATGCAGAAATGATGAGATTGTGATGTTTTGAAGATACAAGAACTGATGCGGTATTTGATTTTGATGCTTTAATATCTTCAAAAAGTATTTCTTGGCGTTTTTCCGTCAGTATTTCTTGGAATATTGTCGCCAACTGACTGTAAAATGCCTTTAAGCTAAAAAGAACGAGTACTTAGCAATTTTAAGGCAAAGTTTTCAAATCGTTGACTTGGTTAAGCTAAATTCTGTTGTAAATGAATAGAAAAAGTCAAAAGTATCTATTTTTTTTTCTTTTATTTTTCTCACTTTACTACTAAATTCTATGGCAAATGAAGTGTTTGAGGAAGAGATTTTTCGGTCGACAAAATCGGTTGACTCATCCCCGTGATGGTGATGTATCTCGTGCCAAAACAAATCACAAACAACTCTCATTTTCCCTCATTTCCGATACACTTATCTCCAAATTTCGACGAAAAATCGACTAGAAATTGCACTATGAAAGGTTTACTGTATTTTCTATGTCTTATAACTGTTTCAAGTTCATTGGACTGTCTCGAGGATGAAGCTGACGAGAGATTTTTGACCACTCACGTGAGTTTATGCTAAAGAATGCAAAGAAATATCTTGATAAATAGCTTAAAACTTGAAATTTCCTTTAACACTATAAAGGCTTGACCCACTTCAGTACCCCGGACAAATCTACAGACTCTTTTAAATCCTCTTAAACCTAAAGATCTAAAGATTTGTCTGACATTCTGTAGCAAAATCTACAGTCAAACTTCGATACAACAAACTGTAAGGACGATTGAATTTATCAAGGCACTTGCTTGAAAATCTCTTGCTTGAAAAGACACTTGCTTGAAAATCTTCCTTCGAAGTTTGCCAACTCTATCGCTTCGTTAACAAGGTAGCAAGACAAGTTGCTAACAAAACAAGTTAGCGAGCAAAACAAGTTGCTAACAAAACAAGTGCTAACAAAACAAGTTAGCAACAAAAAGTTGGAAATACAACTAAAGAACATTAAAGTAATTAGTTCGGGTCTTTTTTCTAGTTTTTTTTGGGTCAAATTCCTGTAAAAGTTCCCTCAACACTTCGACTTTCCATTTTCGACATAATCCTAGTTGCTCTCGGCAGCTTTCCCTTTTAGAATTCGAAAAATAACTCCGTGACGTTTCTTGAATTTATCCAGCAAAACGCCACTCGCTTGAAAATCTCGAATTCCTTCCAAGCTTGCCAACTCTATCGGGATTGATTGCTCCGGGATTGATTGCTCCGGGATTGATTGCTCCGGGATTGATTGCTCCGGGATTGATTGCTCCGGGTTACTCAACCTCTCTCGCACTTTTACTAAATCAAATCAAATTAGCTCTATCAGCTCTATCAGCCTTTGTTCCCAATCCCTTCAAGGGTTTTATCGTCTTGTTCAAAAGCCGCATAAAAATACCGAAATTTTGAGAAATTGCACGTGTCAAGCGCCCGTCAATGCAACGCTATGATCGAGTTTCAACAAACATTCTTGAGCATCTCTAAAATCATCTTGATCTTGATCATCATCTTGATCTTGATCATCATCTTGACCTTGATCATCATCTTGCTCTTGATCATCATCTTGATCTTGATCATCATCTTTATCTTGATCATCATCTTGACCTTGATCATCATCTTGATCTTGATCATCATCTTGATCTTGATCATCATCTTGGTCCTGATCACCATCTTGATCTTGATCACCATCTTGATCTTGATCATCATCTCTAAAACAACACTATATAATCTTAGAAATTATTCCAAATAACAAAGATAAACATGAAAAAAGTAAAATATATAAAATAACAACATATAGGTGACATCAAATGGTCACAGATAAAGTTGTAGTTCTCATTTTACAGGCTCGAACGATCACTTGCAAGCCTGAATGCGATTTTTGTGCCACAATCACAAGAGAGGTGAGTTTAAGAAGAAAAATGGGAAGGAATTGCACTAAAAAAATCTTGTTTTCTAAAAGATTTGTATGCTATCGTACTTAAAACTGACTTTTTAATGGCACTGGAAGATGGGACATTTGGGTCCCCTTTCCCATTGGCAATCTAACTTTAAGCTCAAATTTCTTTGGGTTGAGCTGTTCAAATGAAATCATTTTTGTACCAATCGATAGAGAAAGATTTGGCGCATCTAATAATATCAATAATTTATAAATTGAACACCTCAACACCAAGATATTTGAACTTAAAGTTAGATGTCAATGGGAAATCTCTGATAATGATCGTTTGAGTTCTATAAAACTAAAATAAGACTTTTATTAGCTAATGGTATATAAAATTACAAGGTGCAGAGCATACTTTATTGAGAAAAATGTGCCCAAATAATAAACAATACAAAACGCTCATTTATTTCCGGACAATCTAATAGAATTATAGATTTTCCTTAAAGTTATCCAGGATTTGTTGACAATCTATTAGTTTTGTCTTAGCTTGATAAGCTTGATAAGCTTTTTTTAATCGTTCTTCTTCTTGCAATGACTTTTATAGTTCTTGGTGAATGGTGAGAAGCGGGAAAGAACGATGCGGAGTTGTGGATGTGAACCGATTCGATCAGCGAATGGACGAGTGACAAAATGCAAGGTATATTAGATTTATCTCATTTGTTTATCCCATTTGTCTCATCCATTTTACTCTCAAGCTTGTTCAGTTAAACAAACTTTATGTTTTTTTAAGTTCCTAGTGAACAAGATGCGACTTGAGGAGTTCACAGAGAAGAGGGAAAGAGCAAGAGTCGAGATGGCTTGTTGTAGAGGAGATCGGTCAGTGAAATTGAATCGATTTTAGGGAAAGTTTAGTGAAGTGAAGCCTCTCACAAAGTTACAATGCAGTCATGCAAATTGAACAAATGTTTAGCTGCAATGACGGGCCTCATCCACCTCCTCCTTCATCAACTCCATCACCTCCTCCATCAACACTTCCACAAGAGGTAATGGTAAAGTCTATCGACTCTATACTAGACTTGGCTAGTCTCTAATCAAGGCAACTAAAAGCAAATCGATTTACTCTAAAATTAGACCAATGTTCGCCCCAAATTTGGCTAAATTCTTGATAAAAACTCTACATTTTGTTAAACCAAAACCAGTTAAGATTTTCAAGATTGAAACTGATCTGTTGAAGCTTTAAAGATTGTTTAAAGCTTTCTTTTGATAAATTTTTAAAACTCAAGTCTACTGAGGACTTTGTTAAATGTTTACAGCACAAATCCACTGAAAACTTTCAGGAAGATTTTCAAGAAGAAGAGCTTGAAGAAAGCGTTTTCGTCGCATCATCCCCAAAAATCTCTCTCATTTCCTCATTTCTCATCATTTTTCTTGTCTACTTTTGTTAAGTTTTATATTTTTTAAGTGTAAAAAGCTGTATTACTTTAAAAATTTGCTTTTTTGAGCTTTTTTTCTCAAAATTTTGATGTCTTTCAAATCAAATTTAGTTTAATTTTTTGACTAAAGTTAAATGAATGTAAATTTATTTCTTTTAAATGTAAAGAAAAGATAAAATTTGTTTTCTTGAAGAATAATGAATGGTTTTATGGCTTTAATCATCAAATATATACCGTAAATACTGTAATAGTACCCCACCGCCATAATGACGGTGCGGAGCGTTGCGTAGTCTAGCTTTGAACGAGTTTTTCTCGACACTGGTTTATGCTATTGGGTTGGGGAGAATGAGTCGGCTCCGAAAATGAAAAAAATGTCTAAAACTTCAATTCGACTTCGTCAAATAATATGCGTTTGATATGAGTAGAATGGTTAACTAATTCTCTACAAAATCACATTTAAAAGAAAATTCAAACAGCGCCTCCGCTCAAGAAAAAGCCATTTTTTCACAAAAACTACAAACTGTGATCTAGAAAAAACCATTGGTGGGATCTTCCTGCAAATTTGGCAACTTAAGTAATTGAATGTGCTCTATCTTTTTATATAAACACCAAAGAAGGTTTATGTGAAAGAAACTGTTCAAATGATGAGTCGGACTCTTTGCCATTTTAACCAGCTGCGTTTGGAAGTTCATAAACTCCACGAAAGAAAAGCTTTGTGGAATCTCTCAAAAGTGATTTTGTAGAGAAATAGTGGATCCTTTTGATGAAACAAAACGTGTATTTAAAGAAGGTTTTATGGGTGCAAAAAGTTTCTTTAAATTTCGGCGCCGACTCATTCTCCCCAACCCAATACATGCTAAATTCTCGATCAACAGCCAGTTTTTCTCTTCGAAGTTTAATCAAATATCAAACAAATTTCAAAGAAAATTCTATTTTTTTGGTGAAATTTGGTAGAAGCTTTTACAGTTTACAGTTTCAGTTTACTCGTTCGTCGTTTTGACTAGTTTTGACGAGCAAACATAACTTTAATTCAACTCTAAAACTTTTGTAGAGATTTCTAGAAAAATCCAAAAAATAGGTCCTGGCCGGGATCGAACCGGCGACCTTGCCCGTGTGAAGGGCACGTGATAACCACTACACCACAGGACCACTTGCTTGGGCGCGTTAGAAAGCCGTTTTTAAACCAACCATGACCTAAAATGGTTCCAATTCAAAAAGTGGATAACTGAATATTTTTAAAAGTACCGTAATCTTGACGGACAAAGATACTGTAAAGAGCAAGATAAAACTGCCCATTTTCTGGGGTTAAAATTTCTTTTTGATATCAGCAAGTTCCTTCCATATTTCCTTTATCAATTTTCGTCATATTTAGAAATTCTTGACCTTAAAACATAAAACAAGCTTTTAGATCACCAAGAATTTCTAATTTCTAATTTCTAATAACTTTTAAATTTCTATTTTTTCTAATAATGATCCATATTTTAGTTAACAACCATAGAAAGTCAAGAAAGAGGAACTGGGTCATATGATTTATTCACCGAAAACTCAACTCTTCTGATTGCTTAATTGTCATTACCTCATGCAGAACTTAGAAATAAACGCAACAAAATAATTTTAAAAGCAGAAAATGTTCTGTTGGCGAGATCGAGAGAAACGAAAACACGACAAGGAATGGAGTTTTGCGAAAATGTTTGACTCTTTATTAGGTACGATAAAAGCTTAATCTGTAAAGTAAAAAATTTTGTTAATAATTTTATTAATAACCATAGAAAGTCAAGAAAAAGTAACAATTTCGAAATATGCAACTTCTCCTCTCAACACGGATGTGCTTGAGCTTTAGCTTGAGAGCCATCAACCTCCGTTCGTGTTGAAAATCAGCAAGATGTGTCAAATGAAATGATAACTTAAAACATGAAGATTAAAATGATACTGATCATTTTAGGCCCTGATTTCTCCAGCTCCGTCAAAGAAGAAAGCTATCGCAATTTGCGTTAATCAAGTAAATTGGTGCACTCTAGATTAATGGTAACATTTTGGTCCTCTACGATCAGTCTTCAGCTTTTTGGTACTCGTAGGCAGTAACTTTAATTCAACTCTAAAGCTTTTGGTACTGTGACTTCAGTATTTCCAGAAAAATCCAAAAGATAGGTCCTGGCCGGGATCGAACCGGCGACCTTGCCCGTGTGAAGGGCACGTGATAACCACTACACCACAGGACCACTTGATCGCGTGCTTTAGAAAGCCGTTTTTAAATCAACCATGACCTAAAATGGTTCCAATTCAAAAAGTAGACAACTGAATATTTTTAAAAGTACCGTAATAATTCTAATAGAAGACATTAATGTCATTTTCATAGGTCTTCTAATTTTCAACCCCTTCCCCAAAGGGTCTTCTGTTAGAGACTGGTCTTCCGTTAGAGACTGGTTTTCTGTTAGAGACTGGTCTTCTATTAGAGACTGGTCTTCTGTTAGAGACTGGTCTTCTGTTAGAGACTGGTCTTCTAATTTTCAACCCCCTTCCCAAAGGGTCTTCTATTAGAGACTGGTCTTGAATTTGTCAAAGCTTTAGAGAACGATTTTAGGAAGCAACCCTTTTTAAAAATCAGTCACATTTGTATCATCACTTTATTCACTTAGTTAAAGCAACAATTAACAACAATAACAACAAATAATTATTAACATAAAACATAAAACAATTTGAAAGGAGCAAATCCGTTAAAAAACCTCAATTTAATTTTCATTAATGTCATTGATTTCAATCGAGGCATCGCTTTCGTAATCCTTGTTTTCCTCGTCTTCGCCCAAATCAATTTCATCCAATAATTGAGCAACCATCTCATCATTTCGGGCTTGCAACAATTTGGAGGCCGCTTCTGGAACTGCACCGTTGGGCTAAAATAAAAACACTAAATACATTAAAAATCTTATAAAGTAAAAAGCAGCTAAAATTTTACTTACTTTGAAACAGGAGATTTGATCGTCTTCCGATCCATCAATAGCAACCGTAATTCCGCAGGATTTGAATGATCCAGCGATGAGATCCTTATCCAAATCATTCCAAGCATCGGTGATCCATTGTAAGTAGTTGTCCATTGATGGAGCTTTGATATTACCTCCTTTTGTGGTTTCCTGATCTCCATGCATCATCCAATCGTCGTAGTAGCTTCGGATTTTGGGCCTTGAAGGGATGATTCCAAACAACATCTGGTGCTTGAATAAATTTTGTGCACCCTCCTGGAATTACCGCCGAGTCCATTTTAATTGCTTTAAGTACTCGCTTCGTCGAGCTCGAAATGTGACAGCGAAAGCTGTCCCAACCCAAAAAGCACTTGAAAAGTCCAGCATGTCCAAAGGTTCTCTTGAGAAAGTCGGCCGTCAGATCATCATTCATCCATGTCGTTCGCTCCCAGACAAGATTCAATTTACCTCCAAATCGCTTTTGGATGACCGGATCAATTCGTTTCCGTGGCAAAAGAACAAAAGGCTTGCACTTGTAACCGTCGGAGCGCGCCGTAAGCATCACAGAAATTTTTGTCTTTTCATGTCCACTTGATCGAACTGAGACTTCATTTGCTCCTTTTTCATCAACACATTTTCCGCCAATTGGATCAAGGAAGACGGCCGTTTCATCACAAGCGTAGATGTGTGTGTATTTGTTCTCCTTTTGCATCCGATTGAGATACATTACGAAATTGACCAACACATCAGCATATTCGTGGGGAGGCTTCTGACAGATTGACGTTGGAGTTCTCATTGAAAATCCATGACGCTTCATGAACTTTTGAAGCCATCCCAATGAACAATCGACTTTGATATCGTTTTGCTCACAAAAACGCTTTGCTTTTTCTTGGACCAAACGCCTCGAGACCTTGTTTTTCTTCTGTCGTTCGCTTCGGACCCATTCGGCAAGTTCCACGTCGAGTTGCGTATTTGTGAGGGTTCGGCCACCTCCTTTTAACCTCTTGTATGATTTCCCCATCTTTCGCAATCGTTTTTCTTGCGAAATCCATTCGCGAATCATCTTTCTGCTGACTTGAAACTTTGTGCTTGCAACATTCTTTGAGATCGTCTTTGCAAATTCAATTGTTTCTAACTTAAACTCGATCGAATATGCCTTCCGTTTGTTTCCATTCTTGAGCAGTTCCGCTTCGAGAGCCTCCAAAGCATTCTCCGAATCTTGATTCATCTCGTTTTCATTCTCCTTTTCTCGTTCCTTGAAGATTTCAAAGTCGTCTCCTTCATCTTTTCGAATATCTCGATACTCCTCCAGAGAATCCGTGCGAATTGGCAGTCGCTCAGCCATCAGCCCTGAAAATAAACACATTATTTATTTTAAGACAAGAAACAAGAATTACAAAAAACACTAGTAGGAAAGAAATAATAACTTTGCACAATGATTTTTACAAGAAAATCTGGGTGGTAGCAGGATACGGTAACATAGTGCATTTTAAGAGTTTGGGTCTTCTAATAGAGACTGGTCTTCTATTTTTCAACCTCCCTTCAAAAGGGTCTTCTATTGGAGACTGGTCTTCTAATAGAGACTGGTCTTCTATTAGAATTATTACGGTAGATTAATCTTGATGGTCAAAGATACTGTAAAGGGCAAGATAAAAGTTTTCTTCTTTCTATTTCTAAAAGTAAATTAATCTTGACGGTCAAGGATACTGTAAGATAAAAAATACAATATTTTTAAAAAACTCATTTTCTATTTTTGGATATCAAAGACGTATTTTTTGGAAAGTACGGGTTTTGAAAAAATACTAAAAGAAATACTAAAAAACTTTTGCGCTTATGCAACTGTACAAGAAAGGAAGGTACTATTGTAATATTGTAATATTGTAGCTATTGTAACTATTGTAATAGTACCTCCCTAGTATAGTAATAGTAATAGTAATAGTATTTACGGTATGAAATCGGCAATAGTGTCAAGCTGAGGTTCTTCAGAATTACACTTTCATCAATCTAAACCTAATTCATCATCACTCGACTCTGATCTGATGATTGGGACGAGTGCATGGCGATGAGTGCCGATTTGATTTCGTTTGACGAATTTTTGGGGAACATTACGACATTACGTCCGAAAAGTAAACGTTTTTGAGCTTTTTGTGAGCTCAAGTAAAACAAAAACATTATTGAAAAGATTTGAAATGGATTTGAAAATGTTTAACCTTAGATTTGGTGTGAATATGGGAGATCTTAACAAGATCGAGTTTTTCACCGAGCTTCTCGATTGGGCTCTCATATTTCAGCTCACCGGGGGATTCAAACGGGATTTTCAATTGGTGAGTTGGGGGGTCAGGGTTTCTAAAGCTGCTCTTACGATTATTCAAAAGCTACTCAGCCAAAAAACATCTCTTTTCTGAGAGATGTGTCCGTCTGTCCGCCAGTGTGTCCAAGCCGTATCTCGCCAGCAATAGCTCGGATTGAGCTGAAAATTTAACATCAAACAGTCAACTTTTTATTACCTTTAATATGATTACGACAGTTCTACTAAGGAGTAACTGTAGTAATGTCTAATAATAAGGTGTACTTTAAGTTCCCCAAAAATTCGTCAAACGAAATCAAATCGGCACTCATCGCCATGCACTCGTCCCAATCATCAGATCTACAGATCTACAAGAAGAGATCTTGAAGAGAGAGAAATTCTTTAAGAAAAAGATCAATTGTACCAGTTAGAGTGCTTGTTTTTAAGTGGAAATAATAGATAGCAAACTAAATAATAGATAACAAACTGAAATCACTATCATTTTGAGAATATTTCGTTTGTTTCCATATTATTGGGTCACTGTAGTTCAGGCTCAGGCTCAGGCTCAGGCTTAGGCTCAGGCTCAGGCTCAGGCTTAGGCTCAGGCTCAGGCTTAGGCTCAGGCTCAGGCTCAGGCTCAGGCTTAGGCTCAGGCTCAGGCTGGCATTCAGAAAAGATGGTAGCTTGGTGAGCTGTAAAGAAAAGCCAAAAACCCGATTCAAATACCCCAAAAACTTTTCCGATAGAAAAAATTCGGAAAGAAGCACCGTATTCTACAAGAATACAGTACTCTTGTCTTATAAGATATTCAGTTTTCGGATGATAACGAAGTCATGGAATAAGGCGATTAAAATTATTCATTTTATCTACAAAAGGCTATTAATACCAGGGAAAAACTGAAGAATAAATGTTAATTGATTAGTAGAATTGATTTGCCAGAAAAAGACAGCCGGAATACGGTAGCTTTTCAATGTACTTTTAAACAAAATGGACAAATTTTAGTCAAGTTTTCAATGTTAGTTTCTTTTTTCATTCAAATTTCAGGACTTTAGCTGAATATCTTTTATTATTGAGCCTGCTAAAATCAATAATTTTATTCTTTTCCTTTCACTTCCTTCTTTCATTTTTCATTCATTTCCCTAAAAACTGATAAAAGGGGTGCTTTGTGTTGCGCAAATTTATCCACTTTTCATTTCAAATATTTGGCTTTTCTTTCGACTTCTTTTCATTATTTTAAAGTCGAAAAATTAGCATTTAAAAACTTTACATTGAATTGACTTTTACATTGAAATTTTATCATTTTTGCATTAGCTAATGGACGACGAATCAGGAATTTCGCGGCTTTACAACGAAAATTTGGCGTTTAGAAAAGGTGAAAATTGCCTAATGTACTTTGATTTTAAGGCTATTTTAAAAAAATAAAATGTTTAGAAAATAAATATTTAAAATTTAAATGTATATAAAAATTAGCATTTAGATAATGAATCGATGGAAAATGAATCGAAAAATGAATCGATTCAGCCTCAAAAAGCGCAAATCGCCGAAGAAGAGGATCTTTCTCAGTAAAAAAAACTTTATAAAGTAGCATATTTTCAGGATTTTCTAAAAGGTGAATGATTTGGAAAGCTGGAAAGCTATCGTTCTATTCTTTCAGCCATTCTTTCAGCTATTCTTTCAGCCATTCTTTCAGCTATTCTTTCAGCTATTCTTTCAGCTATTCTTTCAGCTATTCTTTCAGCTATTCTTTCAGCTATTCTTTCAGCTATTCTTTCAGATTTTGTCCATTCTACTTAGTCACCTTTTAGAAAATGGATTGCTCGCTGAAAAGCTAATGAGTTTTAGTTACGACTACCCGCTATCGAGATCCATTGTGCCTGGGAGCATGCCTTCTTTACCCAGATCGTCATCACCAACTCAATTTTGTGAGCAAGGTTTGTTTGGGAGAAGAATGTCTTTCTAAAAGACACCTATTTTTGACAAACTACCGTAATCAGTTTCATTTTATTAGTTTAATTTTGAAAAAAAACGGATTGTTAAAAGAGTATATTGTGCTTGATTGCTTTCCTAAACGATTACGGTAGTTTTAGACACGTTTTAGGAAACACATCAACTAGAGATTTCGTGTGTTTCTCTTGAGTAAAGCGTTCTCTAAAAGGCACCAGAAAACTACTGTAATCCGTACCGTCAGTTTCCATTTGATCAACTTTGATTCTGAACAACTCTGATTTGATTCTGATCAACTCTGATTTAATCCATTTGATCAACTTTGATTCTGATAACTTGATCCATTTGATCAACTCTGATTTAATCCATTTGATCAACTCAATTTTGGTATCATTCGATAAGAAATCACAAGCCTCATTCAATGATACCAAAAATTGGGCTGATTCGATGAAAACTGATAGGTTGATTATAGCTATGCATCAGATTTGGGGATTTGAGCATAAAATACACCAAAAACAAGTTCAAAAGTGAAAAATTCGCTTCAAAAGAGGAGTCAAAATTGAGAAGAAAAGTTTGAAATGAAAATCTGCGATAATCAATTTGCATTTAAGCGATCGGCGCAAAAAGTACAATTTGCATTTAAGCGCCAAATATAAGAGAAAAATTTCCCTTTCAAGTATCATTTGTTAACCTTCACACCGGAGTCGAGCAACGACACAAGGATGACCAGCGAAGACGAATCCTGGTACGCGGAGGTCGGCATCAAACCGGTAAGCAATTTTTTTACTCGTTCTGGTGGCATTTTGCGATTTTGGCTATTTTGGCATCAAAAGGCGTAAACTGTCGCTCGCTTTGCAAAACTTTATGAAAGCCTATATTGTGTTATTGTTTTTAAAGTTTACTTGTGTTTTACTTGTAAATTTATTTTTGAAAAGAGCTAATGCCAGATAAAAAGCATTATTGCGTTAAAACTGGTCATATTTTTTGTGCTTTGACCAGCTAAAGCTAATAGCGGCAATGTTTAAGGCGCGGATTTTTGTTATTAATGTTTTACATAGTTCTTTTTCCCTTTCAGGGAGCAATTCTCGAGGGCGGAAAGTCGACCTACATCATCGACAGATTACTCGGCGAGGGAGGCTTTGGAGCGGTGTTCAAGGTAAATCTTGTGTTTAGCTGAAGTTAAAAATCTTATTCCTTGCCATTGTTTGATTTGGTGTAAATATTTACTTGATTTGATCGTGATCTCGAATAATTATCATTGTCTTTATTCTTTTCATTTTATTATCATCATATCATTATCATTTCTTTAGATTTACGACAAGAACGATTCGAAGTTGTGCTACGCGATGAAAATCGAGAAGAAGATTGAGAACAAGATTCATTCGAAGCTGAAAATGGAGGTATTTGTGTACATTTCATTCATTATTCAGTTTCCTTTTTTAGATAAGCATCCTCAAGATGGTGGCCAATGTGCGAAAAGGACCAAGCGAGCGCAATCACTTCACGGCGATTATCGACCGCGGAAAGAAGGAATACTACTACTTTCTCATCATGCAACTCGTCGGCAAATCGCTGCAGGATCTCAAGAAAGAACGCCCTATGAATGTGCGCGTTTGTTTGAATTGTCGATTTGCGGTAATTTGGTTGTAGAAGTGCAATTGTTGCAAGTTAATGGTTGCAATTGTTCAATGTTTAAGCTTAATGGTTTTTTGTTGTTGTTTTGTTTTGTCTGCTGTTTGTTTGTTGGATAATTTATCCAATATATAGATGAGTTTTAGCTTGTTTAACGTGTCACCATAATGTAAATGTTAATTAAGTAGATGAAAGCTTTACATTTAATATTGTCCTTCTTTTAGGTTTTCTCCTTGAGTACGGGACTTGGTGTCGGAATGCAGTGCCTTGAAGCGGTCGAGGACCTTCATAAACATGCTTTCATTCATCGGTTCGTTTCTTTGAATGTTCTAGTATCAATGGTTTAGAGCTTAAAAGTGTTTTGTGGCGAATTGAGTCTTGAGGATTTTAAAACAACTCCATTCTTCTCTACTTTTTATTTTTAGTGACTTAAAGCCGGCAAACTACGCATGTGGTTTGGACAAGCAAATGCACACGGTCTACATCCTCGACTTCGGAATTGCTCGCAAGTACACAAATGACAAGGTAATGGATTTGATTTAACCTTAATTGTATTTTGACACTTTAAATGTGACTTTCCTTATTTTCAGGGTGAATTGAAGACACCACGTGCTAAGGTTCGCTTCAAGGGAACGGTGCGTTTTGCCTCGCTGGCTTGTCATCGATGCATTGAGATGTCGGTGAAAGACGATGTGGAGTCGTGGTTCTACCTGCTGTTGGATCTCATCGTCAAGGAAGGTAATTGATTTTGGATTTGAGCAATTCGCCTTACCGTAAAAGCTCTAGTAGAAAAACCCCCTATAGGAGCGTCGCGTCGTCTATGTTTACTCTTCAACAAACGCTCATATCTTGACACCAGTACGTTTGTTTCTGCACGCTTAGATATCAAATTAAAGTAGAGAAAATGGGTGATTTTTTGAGATATAGCACATATTTTTAGCATTAACCAATACTTTAAAAAATGATGAAATTCGGCTTTTTTTAGCCACTTTTCAATCATTTTTTTTCTAAGTGCTGGCTAATCCTAAAAATATGTGCTATATCTCAAAAAAACACCCATTCTCTCGACTTTAATTTAATATCTAAGCGTACAGAAACAAACGTACTGGTCTCGAGATATCAGCGTTTGAGAGTAAACTTAGACTATGCGACGCTCCTATACGGGGCTCTTTTATTAGAGCTTTTACGGTATCTCTTTTCTTGAAGTCTCTTTTTCACTGATATTTATTTTTTTGTTTAGGTCTCCCTTGGAAGAACATTCAAGATAGGAACGATGTACAAAAGCTCAAAGAGGAATTCCGGGAGAAGAGAGATCTCTACGGAACGCTCAAGTGCAAGAATGTAAGTGATTCTTTGCAATCTCTTGGCAAAAATTCAAATTGCTGATTCTGCAGCTAGATTTGACTTGATCAATGGTTTTCCTTTAGGACTATCAGGATATTCTCACCTACATCGATCGTCTCGAGTACACCGATCATGTCGATTATCAATTCATCTACAAGAAGATCAAACTGGTAGGGTTTTTATTTTTGTAGCGTTTGCGCTTAGCTGCCTTGGGGATTATTAGATGGTTTATTTGATGGTCTAGTTGATTGATACATTTACTTTCTCATTTTAGATCGCTGCCCAGCAGAGCATCAACATCGACGGTCCGTACGATTTCGAGAAGCCTTCAAAGAAGTGAATAGCGCCAATGGAGAACGCAAAAAAATTCGCTAATGGAAACAAATACAAAGTGCACTTTATTATTTGTGAACGTGAATAAATGAAAACGATTGTATAGCTTTGTCGTTGATACTTTTCATGATTGTGCTGTTGATGATGTACTTTTCATTTTTTTCTATTTTACTGACGTGGAGATAAGCAAAGATAGAATTGCTAGACCAATAGATGAAAATAGATAAATTTAATGGAATATCAGCAATAAGTGAAAACATTAAGTAAAGCATTTCTACTAGAATCGGGCATTGATTGCAAAATCTTGCAGAGACTGGTGCTTTTTGGAAAACGATTGTTGATTACATTGGAATTTTGAAAGTTTTTAGCGTCGACGAGTCTCGCCGACACCGATTTTGCAGAGATTTTGAAAGAAACTCACCACAAAGCCTCCGTGTTTCAAGCGCTTGTCCAAGTAAGGGGGGAAATTGTTTACTATAATTTTACCCATTCTTTAGATTGCTTTAGACGAAGGTTGTACAGTAAAGGAAATGATTCACGATTTTGAGAGACATTTTGAAGAGATTGGAGAGTGGTTGAAAGCAAAGAAAGTAGCTGAGGATGAGATGAAGAAATTTTTGTCAATGTTCAAAGATTCATGCGACCAGATTCTTTGGCTCAATACTGGATATCATTTGGATTATCGTGAGGTTTGAATGAAAGGAAAAAAAATTATTTCAATTCAATTTTAGAAAGAAAAACTGAATGTGGAGACACTACGAAAGAGACTATTGACGGTTAAAAAGGTGAGCGGCTACAGTAAATCCGTTTTCTAAACCTTTTCCCCTTTCTCTTTCGATCGTAATCTTGTCTCTATTTTTTAGCCAATCTTGAATCTCTACTTTTGAAGTATCACGGTACTTTTACTTAGAGTTCGGCAAACAAAACCAAAACCAAAACAAACCAAAACTCAATTTGCATATAAATTAGCATGTAAATTTAAAATTGTAAAATGCAAATTTGCCTTTCACTTTTTCTCACTCCCCCAAAATCTCGCGGCCGAAAAAAGGACCAAAACACGACCTCGAAATTTCGAAACAAAAAATAGCCTATGGGATAGATTTTTGGATGCTGATTTCAAATCTGCAAACAGATTTTCGCTAGCTCCTCCCAGTCGCGAGATATTGGCGAGTTTTGGTTAGTTTTGGTTTTGGTTTTAGTTTGTTTTGGTTTTGGTTTTGGTTAAGTTTTGTTTTCCGAAGTCTACTTTTACTACTTTTAAGCCATCAACCAGTTGGTTTCAAGCTGATCAGATGGAAATCAACTATGAAAAAGCTGAGGAATTGTTCAGGATGAATTTGAAAGAGGTTTTTATGCACTATGTGCCCAAACTTGTAAACCCATCCTTTCTAGCGCACTCAACTGCCAAAGTGTGCCAGAAGGGTTGCGTTTTCAGTTTTGCACACAAAGTACGATATATTTGTTCAAATTTTAGCAAATGGACGGCTATCCAGAAGTAAAGGAAGAATTTCTCACCTCGCTTATTGATTTCGAGAAATCTCTTCGGAAAATGTTTGAGCAGAGTCTGAGAAAGTATGATGTGAAAAATGGTTTGCAAAAGTTGATCAATGATCGCTCGGTCGAGTTGTGGATGGATTTCATTGTCGAGAAAACGACGGTATTTTCGTTTTTTCTACACTAATAGACAAATGAATAGATCAGCTACCGTAACTCAACCTAGATCTCTATATATCCGAATGGTTTTGGCAACTGTTTACTTTAACAACTTCAGAAACTTCAGAAAACCGCTCAAATCACCGATCCGCTCACTCATTTCACTCTGATTCAAGAAGCTCTTCAACTTGATTGTGATGAAGAGAAAACAAAGGAATTTCTGAAATCATTGCATGAGAAATTCCTTGACGGATCTAGTTATTTAAATATTGATAGATTGGATAAAAATTAGACAAGGTTACGGTCGAAAGAGAAAAGGGAGACGTTTTATGAAATAAATATTCAAAAAACTTTGAAAAAAACTAATCGAAATTCTTTCTTTTCCCAGCTCTTCAATGATTTGGGGGGTTTGGTTGAGGGTAAAATTTACCTTTAAAAATCGCGCAACACATTTGCTTCTTTATCATGATAAATTCTATGTCATTAACTATCAATTAATTTATTTTTTATCAAAAAAAAACATAAAAAACCATAAATTTTTTACCCATTAAAGCAAATTTCATCAAATTTTTGTATTAATAAAAATTGAAAAGTTATTAGAAATTAGAAATTCTTGGTGATCTAAAAGTTTGTTTTAAGTTTTTAGATCAAGAATTTCTAAATATGACAAAAATTGATAAAGGAAATATGGAAGGAACTTGCTGATATCAAAAAGATATTTTCACGGAAGTGGGACAAATGCGACCTTTTTTTTGCGCACCCGGACATTTGCGCACCTTTTCTCCGCACCTTGCCCATTAGCGCACCTTTTTTCGCGTTTTAAAAAAGCAAAAAAGCTCTAAAAAGCTAATATTAACCAATTTCTATTCCAAAAGTTGTTTTTCTAGGTAATTTGAGGGTGTCGAATTCAAATTTTGACATAACAGAAACATGTGGAACCAATTTGAAAGAGGCTAGATCAAATTACAGAAAATTGTCGATTTCTCTCTTTGTATAGCTCCGTCCGTTTGTTTCCACAAGCTCTGGTATGTCAAAATTTCGATTCTACGCCCTAAAATTACCTAGAAAATAGAAAAACAACTTTTGAAATGGAAATCGGTTAATATTAGCTTTTTAGAGCTTTTTTAAAACGCGAAAAAAGGTGCGCTAATGGGCTAAGTGCGGAAAAAAAGGTGCGCAAATGTCCGGGTGCGCAAAAAAGGTCACATTTGTCCCACTCCCGTTTTCACCCCAGAAAATGGGTACTTTTATGTTGCCCTTTACAGTATCTTTGTCCCTCAAGGTTACGGTACTTTTAAAAATATTCAGTTATCCACTTTTTGAATTGGAACCATTTTAGGTCATGGTTGGCTTAAAAGCGGCTTGCTAAAGCCCCTGAGCAGGTGGTCCTGTGGTGTAGTGGTTATCACGTGCCCTTCACACGGGCAAGGTCGCCGGTTCGATCCCGGCCAGGACCTATCTTTTGGATTTTTCTGGAAATCTAGAACACAGTACCAAAAGCTTTAGAGTTGAATTAAAGTTACTGCCTACGAGTACCAAAAAGCTGAAGACTGATCGTAGAGGACCAAAATGTTACCATTATTAATCTAGAGTGCACCAATTTACTTGATTAACGCAAATTGCGATAGCTTTCTTCCTTGACGGAGCTGGAGAAATCAGGGCCTAAAATGATCAGTATCATTTTAATCTTCATTTTTTAAGTGACCATTTCATTCGACACATCTTTCTGATTTTCGACACGAACGGAGGTTGATGGCTCTCAAGCTAAAGCTCAAGCACATCCGTGTTGAGGGGAGAAGTTGCATATTTCGAAATTGTGACTTTCTCTTGACTTTCTATGGTTATTAATAAAATTATTAACAAAATTTTTTACTTTACAGATTAAGCTTTTATCGTCCCTAATAAAGAGCCAATCATTTTCGCAAAACTCCATTCCTTGTCGTGTTTTCGTTTCTCTCGATCTCGCCAACAGAACATTTTCTGCTTCTAAAATTATTTTATTGCGTTTATTTCCAAGTTCTGAATGAGGTAATGACAATTAAGCGATCAGAAGAGTTTTGAGTTTTCGGTGAATAAATCATCTGACCCAGTTCCTCTCAGTGACAAGATAAAATGTGTAAACCGAAAGGACAGAATATCTTTTAATTCAGTAAAGCACTTTAAAAGTGTTCAATCTAAAGAAAAAGCGGTATCAACACCGAATAATTCTTGTAAATTACCTATTTATACTTTGTTATCAAAAATCGGGAGTTAAATGCAAATTTGAGTTGAACAGTTGAACAAAGCCACAAGTACCGCAAATTGAATCTGGGATTTCTGAATGAAATCAAATTTTCAAAAAATCTGCTCAGAAACTCCCAATCATTCACGGTCTCTCAGAGGCCAGGACACTATAGATTACTGGGAAGTCATCATTGCCATGGCCACGAGCGGGATCGAACCCGGGTTGCCGAGAGCGAGAGGCGAACGCCCTAACCACTCGGCCACGCAAAGCCAGAGAGGGGGAGGGTCAAAGAGCTCTAAATCATTGGTTCGCTTTGTGAAATTGAATGCTTTAAGCTGTTTTTCTTCATTTTTGCTTAAAAATTTATTTGCCTCATACAATTGTTAAGGTTTATTGGATATGATTCAAAAACAACAATCACATACTCGCCAATCAATCAAAAAATGACAAACGCGACAAAACCGGGAGTCAATTACCAAAAAAACATATAAAAGAGTACCAGAATCACCGAGAACCCATATGTTTGGCTTAGAACACCCAAATGGACAACGAAATAAATACAATGAGAGAAACACAATATAAAAATGGGTACGTCTGCATTAGATCCTTCAGTCTGTGCCTAATTCGATAGTTTAGACTCTATCAAAGCCACAAAATGTGTCTTAATGGGGATTAATGCACAAATACCTAAAATGTTATGTTATGCTAAATGTTATAAGGTCCTTGAATAAAAGCAAACAATGTTTAGATTTCTTAGGCGGCCATTTGTCGAAGTTTTCGTAATCGTTCCTCGAGTGACATTTGTGCGGGTGTTCGGGGTTCCACTTCGGAATCTTCTTGGCTCAATCCGAGACGATTTTGAGGTACCGAGGGGAGATCCAACTAAAAGGGAAGTGTAACAGATTTTTAAGCCAAAAATGTAACTTTTCCTATTAATCAATTCAAAAAATACCTCTCTAATGGGTTTCTCGGGTGTCTTCTGACCCGACATGAGCTCCTCCAATTCCCGCTCAAGCTCTTCGTCTTGCACTCCGGCTCTTATCTAAAATGGCTGTTAAAGCAAAAGTAAATTCCAACTCACTCCAGCGATTCCTTGACTCATCGCATCAGTAATATCATGGAATTCCTCAGCAGCCTCTTGTACTTCATCCATCGTTGCATCGATCTAAATAATTTGAGGTACTAATAAGCAAATTTTTCCTGAAAACCAACCTTTTCTGGGGAAAGACCGTGTCGTTCCAAATTTGCCTTGAAAGCGCTCGTGCCCGCCTTGTAGGCTTGAAGAACATCCTTGTTATGCTGAACAAAATTGTGATTGCAAATAAAATTTCATACCTTTGTGCTGCCAATTTGATGAAGCATCGAGAGTAGTTTACTGTATTGAACATCTTTATCGGCCAAACTTTTATCGGCTTGTTTCTTTTGCCGTAAAAGATTGGTGGCCTTCACTTTCTCACCACTGCGCAACGCTGCTCGAGTGTCTTGGTCCAATCTGGAAAAGAAAATACTTTAGCATCACAGTCTACAAATTTTGACAAACACTTACAAAAATTACATACATCTTTATCTTAAAAATGTTCATAATGTTTAAAAACAAACTTTTTAGCTTTAGCCTCGAGCGCCGAAATCTCCTTATCGAGGCGAAGCATTGCCTTTCTAATGTCGTGAACCGACGCATCGGCTTCAGTGAAACGAGCTGGTCCACTATCGCGACGACCCTAAAAATACTCATAGGTTTCTAAATTTTTAAATTGATTTTACCTTAAATTTGAGAACTTTCTCTCCATTCCGCGCATTGCCCACCATCACATCGCCACTGTCCGATAAGAATTGGAGAACGATTTCGAAGTTTTCCTGAAGGAATTGATTGAAAAACCGTAAGAAACTAGCCGGTTATGCCTCGAGCCGGATAGCAAATCAGCCAATCCTCTATTTAATACCTCTGAATCGACGACACTGCCAGCGCGTTCAAAAAGATCCGTCCAAGCGACGACTTCACCAGTACAATCGACTTCATCGCCAAATTCTCGGCTGTAGAGTTCCAGAAGATCTTCAGCTTGTTTCTAATAATAAGGTTTAGCCAGCAAGTATCTTTCAAAATCTATCTACCTTAACAGTTGGAAGATGCAGATAGCGTTGGCCCGGCTCACTTGCGCCCATAAACCAGCTCCCAGTGCGCATCATCTTGCTGAACTAAAAACAACCAACACAATTGCCAAACGATACACAAAGTTTTTCAAAGTTTCAAAAACTTACTCCCCATCCAAGCCACGATGAATGTTTTTCTTTCCATTCGTCCAATGTGATAATATCGCCAGTGCTAAAGTTGTTTTAGAGTTGAAATTTGAAAATCGTTACTTGATCATATCCTCAATGACAATAGGAAGACTTGACGGCACAAGGTCACCTCTACGAAATCTAAAAGCAAAAAAGCATAAAAAATTTAATTATTACGTCAAGCTAACATAGTCTTTTACACAAAGTATCTGCTTTATCTCAATCTTTTCATAAATTTTATTTTAAAACAACCTTTTCTTTAGCGAATCAACAGTTAATAAAGCGTCCTTTTCTCCATAACATCCGCTTTCGATCATCCCACGCCAAAAACGAATTTTTCGATCGTAGTCCACCGGATTCACTTGTCGAGACTAAAAATTAACTGTAGAATGTTCGAAAAACCTAATTTACGCTGAACTAACGCTTTTAAATTTGAGAAACGTAAACGATTTCACAAAGTTCCTTTACTAATGCCCATTAAAAATGCCCGTATTATGTCAAAGAACATTTCCACCAAAGAACATAAAAAAAACCTTTATCATTGACATCAGTCCGGACATCTCCATGTCATCGTTCCACGTGGCTGGATAATACTTCTTCGGGCTCATCTAAAGCAGGGAAATGGTTTTTTAAATCGAAATATTAGAAAAGGGATAGAAAATTTCTATAAAACTGTAGGTGTTTTGAACTATGAAAAAGGGGGAACACTTTAAAATAGCAACAACATCGAAAAACTGTGAACGGTAAAAAGGGGAGGGAAATGGAGATTAGGAGAGGAATGAAATTGC